AGTCTGTTTGGTTTTTATCTCTAAAGATCTGGCAAAGCAATGAACTATAGACCACCTGATTTTCCAAAGATCTGTTTTCCCAAGGCTGAGATCCTTCCTCTCCTTGAATTATGTATTTGTAAGCCTGGAACTAAGTCAGAGGGCAAAAAAAAATCAACCAACCACAGGCCAATACACTCCAGTGATGAATTTTGTTTAGTCTATAATTCCATCTATCTGTCTATCTATCTATCTATCTATCTATCTATCTATCTATCTATCTATCTATCTATCTATCTTAATCTATCTTTATCTATTAGATAATCTATCTATCATCTATCCTATCTAGCTATCATCTATCTATCTATCTATCTATCTATCTATCTATCTATCTATCTATCTATCTATCATCATCATCATCATCTCTTTATCTATCCTAATGTATCTGTCTGTCTGTCTGTCTAATTTGTGGTGAGGCAGAATTCTTGTTTGTTTCTGAGACAGGATCTCTCTTCATAGTCCTGGCTGTCCTGAAACTCACTATGCAGATCGAGTTGGCACGGAACTCACAGAAATCTGTCTGCCTCTGCCTTCCCAGTGCTGGGATGAAAGGTATGTGCCACCATTGCTAGCTGACCTTGAATTCTTGATCCTCCCATCTTAGCTTCCTGAGTGCTGGGATTATAGGCATGGACCAAAGTATTTGACTGTTTACAATGCTTAGACATCAGGAAATTACAATGCAACCTAGATATCCAGGTTCTTTTGAAAACTTAAGGGCTTTGGCAACACTGGACTACCATTCTAACATGACAACCATTGCACCTCCTAGCCATGAAGCTGGCATGAATCTCAGGTTTGTTGTGAGCCTTTACCAAGCTTTTCTAGTCCCACAGGTCTTTGACTTTGTCACTGTTTGTCACTTGTTGTTCAGACGAATATACAACCATACCCACTGTGTGCTGGGTACAGTTCAAGGCCATTTCCATAAGTTCCATATTATTGACAACATGGTGGCTTCCATTTTATAGCAGAAAGTCTTGTATGTGAGGGCACAAATCTCTGTGCCTTCTGCCTCATTTGTCTTTATACCTAACTGCTTCAAAAAATTGTTTATCCAACACAGTACCACCTATTCCTGGATGTGCATGTGTGATGTGTGATGTGTGTGCATGTGCGTGTATGATGTGTATAAGTGTGTGCTTAGATACTTACAAGTATGCACAAAATCAGGATGTCAGTGAAGCCTGTGCACTCACGTTTGTTGAAGCACAGTCTGCAATATCAAGATGTGCAATCAACCTAAATGTTGACCAACTGATGAAGCCATCTAAAAATGTGGTACATATATACAGTGCAGCGTGTTTCAACTATAAAAAGAATGAAATCCTGTCACTTGGGACAACACAGATGGGACTTGAGATCTTTATGTTAAGTGAAATTTACCCAGCATAGCCAGACAAGTACCACACGATGTCTCATAGAATGTATACAAGCTGATCCCATGGAAGCTGGGAGTAGAAAGGTGGTTACCAGAGGCTGAGAATAGTGGGGTGGGGGAAGGATGGGTGAGGCTGACCAATGGGCATTAAGTTATAGTTAGAAACCGCAAAGAGGTTGGGCTTTTGGTACAGGTCTATGATCCCAGCTACTCAGAAGGTTCTGCCAGGTAGACTGAAAGTTCAAGGCCAACCGGGGCAACTTAGTCATACTCTGTATCAAAGCTAGGGATATAGCTCAGTGGTCGAGCATTCGCATACAGGAGGACCAAGGTTTATCATTAGTACCACCAACAATAAAGGAATAAGACTGTCTGCTGCGCTCCTGCACTGTATGGTGAGTGTGGATAATGGTGACACTGTATACTTTTTTTTTCTTTTTAAGATAGTAAGATTTTGAAGCCGGGCAGTGGTGGCGCACGCCTTTAATCCCAGCACTAGAGAGGCAGAGGCAGGCGGATCTCTGTGAGTTCGAGGCCAAGCCTGGTCTACAGAGTGAGTTCCAGGAAAGGCGCAAAGCTACACAGAGAAACCCTGTCTCGAAAAAACAAAAAACAAAAAAACAAAAACAAAAAAAAAACCCAAACAAACAAAAAAAAGATTTTGAATGGTTTTGACATGGACAAGTGTTTGGGATGTTGTTTACTTTGTGAAAAAAATATATACACATATAAAAATAAAGTAATTCTTAAGACTATATGCATAGAAACGTCACAGTAACTCATAACGCTGATGCATCTTGTCAGTTAAAGACACACATATACAGACCACTTTAGAACAATGAAAAGTTGATGTGGTGGCATATGCCTTTAACACTAGAAGCAAAGGCAGACAGATGTCCGTGGGTCCCAGGCCAGTCAAGGCTGCACAGTAAGCCCCTGTCTTAAAAAACAAAACCAGGACAAAAAAAAGTCCAGTAAGAAACAAAGCCCCCGGGAGCAGTGATGGCACCCTAGGAGTTGGGAGTCCACAAAGGAAGGCTCTTTCTGTGAAAGCCAGGAGTGGGGATCAAGAGACCGCTTCCACAGGGGAGAGGAGGGGAGGAGCTAACTAAGCTAAGACATTGGGCATGATCACAGCCACAGTTCGTGGAGAAAAGAATCACAAATTCAGAAAGTAGGAAAGCTTCACTGAACCTGCCGGTGTTTGATCAAAACCACAGCACAAACTTGTGGTTTCTGTGTGTAGATATGCGCATGTAGGCTTATGTACTGTATACATTTTGCATGTATGCAAAACTAATTATTCTAATTCTCTTAGAAGGGTTGGACACCCAGTAGCCACTAGCCTATCTTTTTTTTTTTTTAAGGATTTATTTATTTATTATGTATACAGTGTTCTTCCCCCATGTATGCCTGCAGGCCAGAAGAGGGCACCAGATCTCATTTTAGATGGTTGTGAACCACCATGTGGTTGCTAGGAATTGAACTCAGGACCTGTGGAAGAGTAGCCAGTGCTCTTAACCTCTGAGCCATCTCTCCAGCCCACCACTAGCCTATCTTAACATGCAGACCATGAATCTTACTTTTTCTTTTACGTGCATGCTTAATCAAATTTAACATAATCACTGGACAGTAGATTTGAGGTTTAACATTTTCTTATGTTCTCTATCTCATCTATTCTTTATTCTCTCACTCTCTCTCTCTTTGGTGTTTAGAGACTGAAATTCAATCTGTAGACCGGGCTGGCCTCGAACTCACACAGTTCTGCCTCTGCCTCCTGAATCTTTTTAATTCCCCCTTTTCTTCCTTCTTTGGGGTTGAATGGTTTTACATTTGTTTTTTGAGACAGGGTTTCTCTGTGTACCTCTGGCTGTCCTGGAACTCACATTTTAAAGCAGGCTGGCCTGTTCTCACAGAGATCCGCCTGCCTCTTCCTCCGGGGTGCTGGAATTAAGGTTTTGTGCCACCACATTTATTTTTTAATATATAACCCGATGATGGTACACATTAATGGAGTACCATGTAATGTTTAATACTGACACATCATACACTTAATTTTTGTTTTTGTTTTTTTCGAGACGGGGTTTCTCTGTGTAGTTTTGGTGCCTGTTCTGGATCTCGCTCTGTAGAGCAGGCTGGCTTCGAACTCACAGAGATCCACCTGGCTCTGCCTCCCGAGTGCTGGGATTAAAGGTGTGCGCCACCACTGCCTGGTGCAGACACTTCATTTTTAAATGCTATTGCCCATCAAAGGAATCAGTGATCTCAGGGAAAAATGACTGCTCCAAGGAATACACAAGACAAATATACAAGATGGAGCCAAATGTATTACGTATTTGTGGAATAATGGTGGCTTGCCGCGAGGCCTTGACTGAAACTTGACTGGGTCTGAAATCACCTAAGGCATGCTCCTGGAAGGATTGAGGGGAAGCACCTTCCAGCAGCGACCCGGATTTAAGGAGGTCCCAGGAAACGCTGCCTTTTGCTTGCATGCCTTCACCTTTTGCTGGTCCTGTCGCTGCCGCTATGAAACCCCAGCCTCTTCAGCTTTCTCACACAGCTGGAAGACCAGCGGCTCTCCAGAAATCCTCCAGGCCTTCAGTGGCGGACGGGACTGCTGAGGTGGCCAGCCTCCCGGACGGAGCAGTTTCCCAGTGACTCAGACTCTGTGATGTACAGACAGCTCTGCTGGACCACCTGGAGTCTAACGGTAAGCCAATCTAACAGTTGCCCTTTGTAAGATGTTCATTCTTCTGGTTTTTACACAGAACCCCGACTAGTACACCAGCCATGGACAGGGATGCTAGCCCTCAGAAACCGACATTCTGTCACTGACTTGGGACAACTTGAGCAAATACGTGATAATATACAGTAAGTTAATGGAAGAAATTGCTCCCTAATAACAAAATACAGTTGAGGACACATGTTGAGGAATAAGGAAATTAAAAGAAAAATAATTCCTCGGCAACTTATAGGGTAAAATCTCAAGCAAGAAGGCTAAGAGCAGGTAGCCAAACTGGATGACGTGCTGTTTATGCGGTCTCAGCGTATGCCTCTACAGAAGGCTTAATATGAAAGCGCCTGTTGGTTATGAAGGGGAAACAGTGGCTTCCCGGGGCCGCTCAGGTTACTGCAGCAGCGGAGGGAGGGACAGATGGACGGTGCGTCCCTCCCGCCATCGGGTGTCAGGAGAGCAGCGCTGTCCACAGTATCCCAGCCACCTGCACGTCCCCAGTCTAAGGAGGACGCACCACGCTCGGACTGAGGGTCTTCCGTAAGCCGACAGCCAATGCAATCACAAACCGCGAAGGCCAAGGAAGGAGTAAGGCGTGGTTCTAAGACTCAAGAAAGTGGGACAGCCGAAGCAACACAGGATCCTGGTCCGCAGCCTCCAGCTATGAAGGGTGTGACCAGGCAGCCAGGTGTGAGCAGGACGAAAGAAATTATTCACAGTGCTTTCATAACCTTCCTATTAGTATGAAATTATTTACAAAATCCAAAGTACCAGTTAACTTTTGTTCAAAAACTTTTATTTACTATAAAGACAAAACACCAAAATAGGTACAAATACTATAAAATTGGTTCAAAGGGGTAAAAATTTTAATTAAAATATCTCGATATATTTAAAATAACAAAGGATACATTTAAGCCAAATTTTCTTAACCCAGAGGTTTTTTTGTAGCATTTGCTTACACAGTAAGGTGCTAATAGGAGTTAGCCCTTAAGCCCTGGAAGTCTTAGGAATCAGTCACACAGCACATAGAATGTCATTGTGAGAGTGAACTTTGGTAGAAGAAAAATCTATAGGACACCTGAGGTAGTAGAAACTGGAATAAACAGCAGTAGACGTTATTTACAACTTGAGTACAAATAACATTAAAAACACAAAAATAATTACACAGTACAATTTTCAGTCCAGCTTTGATCCAAAGAAAATAAGAATATTACATCACATTTGCATCGAAAACAAAACACCACAATTACCAGCAAGCTGAGGGAACTGCACACAAACTCAAACACAGTGAGTGGATCTTGACATCTGGAGACGGTTTGAGTTGGAAATGTGGCGGGCATGTTGATCTACACAGTAATACTGATTAGCTGAGGTTCCTCAGTTTATACAGTTTACACCTCTGTCAGACAGTGCGAATCTGACCAATGATCTTCCAGTACAGACAATGGCAAGAGTGCGTCCTTTAAAGCTTGCACACGAGACTCGGAAACAATCTTATTAGAACTGTGAAAATTCTAAGTAGTCAAAAGTAAAAATAAAAAGAAAATAAAAAAAGAAGTCAAGTACAACACATTTAGCATTACCAAACTTCACATTTCTGTATTATTTTTAACTCTTCAAATATTGCCAATCTTCCCAAACAAAGGAATGTAAAAATTTCACAGAAAAACTGTCTTTGAAAATTATCTGCAATATATCCCTGTAAACTTATCTTGGAACTTATTTTACTTCCAATTTGTGTTGTACATGTCAAATGTACTACATATATATAGCTTATTTAGTTTATCCTGAGTCTTTGAGAATAACCAATTCTATTTCACACTGGCTTCTGAAGAGTTAAAACTTAACATTTCAAAGTTACATTTAAAAGCTAATCAGTACTTGATTTAAAAGACACACATGCAAAGATCTACCATTTTCCTTCAGGATTCCATGCATCTGAATTCATCTTGAGGTTAAGACAATTAAATAATTGTGCAAATTCCAGGAATCAGTGTGTAAATGAAATTCAACTTTACTTTTCCGTCTGAACATTTTAAAAATGCAAAGCAAATTGATTGTTTGAAAACATTGCTGATTGGTAGGTGAGTCCAAGAGTTTTTCAGCCGGGTCTAGTATAAAAACATCGTGCATGGCACAGGGAAAACAGCAGTTCCGTTACGGTCGGTGGGAATGAATGATGGATTGTTACCAAGAGGAAGATTTAAACGGCAGGAGTTCTCTATAGGCTAGGAAATAATATGAAACAATCCACCTCACTTTCGGATAACCTTGCCCTGCCCGTGAGCTGCATCTCAACAGCTGACTCTGTTGAAGTGAGTACAGACTTACCCCGCATGGCGAGGGCGGAGACTGACGAGTGTAGCCAGTACTTCATTATACACCAATGAGAAGAAAACAGAACTCTTGCAATAGGCACAGATTTAATAAACTAGTTCACACCTACTTCTATTTTTTTTTTTCTGGTTTGAAGAGATCACCTTTCCCTGAATATTAAACACAAATGAAGGTGAAATGAAAATACAGAACCATATTTTCCAAAAAACGAAATGAACGGGCCAACAGTAAAATGCACAATGAACCACAATCGACCAGAAGTTAAAAAAAAAAAAAAAAAAAGGTCAAGTGTGGGTCATAAAGAAGTTATTAACTTTTAAAAACACATGTATTTTCTGCTACTCAGCATACTCTGACCTAAAAGAGGCAGACACTGATTTGTTTTATAGCCAGTGACAAAAACCCCAAACGGAATCGTAGACACCCCCTGCTGTGATCACTAGATGAAATGGAAGAAGGTGACACATTAAAACAGATCCTGAGCCCTCAGCTGCTAATATTGCTGAAAAAGTGCTCCAAAAATAAATTTATGTTCTGTTATTTAATCCTGCAAACTCCATCGCTTTCCTGTTCACCAGAGCCAGTCCTTTGAAAGGCACGGTTTACAGTTTCCACACAAGCTGTGGACTTTTGCATATTGAGCTTAGGTACAGATCATGATTTGTCAATCACATACTTAGGTAAGGGTTCCCCACTGGCCTCATTTCTAGCTGGTCAGTGGCATGAGGGCCAGGAGATTATCCACGTGGTCGCCCACAAGTTCTTTTAATTCTCTCCTTGCTGCACATCCTGTCTCCATTAGAGCTGGCCTGATGGTTAACTACCAAGTCGTACGAAAGACAGGATGCTTCAGGAGCTCTCTGGATGGAGGTCTGTCCTGAGGCTGAAGTTCTAAACAGCGCAGAGCCACATCACGCAGGCCTGGGGACAGATGGGATGGGATGGATGGCGCAGTGGTCGCACTAGCAATCTGCAGGAGACAAAACCGGAGACTGAACTTGGCACAGGGACTTTGCACAGAACATGGACATCAATTTCACAGCCTCTATCAGTGTGCACCTACGTGGTGTATGCTGTGAGTTCTCCCTCAGTGTTGGACAAATCTTAATTCTTAGTGTCAACTAGTACAAACAATCTTTTCCCTGCCCCTCTTTTGACAAGGTCTCAGCACAGTCTGCTCCACCTCCAGAGTACTTCAACTACAGTTGTGTACCACCATTCCCAGATAAGAGCCGATTATTCTATCATCAGGTAAAGCATGAATCCAACTGATTTACCTACGTACTCACAATCACACTAAAACTCCCTTTCCCTCACCTTAACAACTTCATGAATGATTACTGAAAAATGCAAATTGACAGAAGGAAAAACCAACCCTAAAGTCTGTGATCTAGGACATTGAGTGGATGTAGACACACCTGTGATCCCCTGTCTCTACAGACACTGAGTGGATGCAGACACACCTGTGATCCCTTGTCTGTCTACAGACAGAGTGGATGCACATATTTCTTAACACATAAGACAAAACAAAACAGAAATGACATTCCTTTCCACCTGCCCAGGAGTAACCACTCCCTGCTATTGTTTTTCCTTCACAGGGAAAAACCCAAACATTTCTGTCGAACACTTCCTTAAGTGCTCTACCCACAGTGCATTGTCCTGAGTTTGACAACATGGAGTAAACTCCTTATAAGGAGTAGAGCCGGGTGTGGGGAGGCACACCTTTAGTCCCAGCACTCAGGAGGCAGAGGCAGGCGGACCTCTACCCTGAAGGCCAGCCAGGACTACACAGAGGCAATATCTTACCACCCTCCCCCTCCCCAAAACAAAACAAAATTGGGGAGCAGACTAGGGAGCTGGCTCAATGGGGGAAAAAAAACGCTCGCTAAGCAAGCATGATGGCCTGAGTTTGGACCCCCAGAACCCATGTAAAAAATAAGTATGAGGATGCTTATCTGTAAGTCTAGCACTCCTGTGGTGGGATTAGAGGCAGGAGACTCTCCTGCAAGTTCAGAGGCCAGAAATCCTGGAACATGCAGTGCTGTGGCCAACAAAGGAACCCTGCCTCAAACTAGATGGAGATCGAGGACCAACTCCTTAGGTTGTCCTCTTATCTCTGCACATGTCACGGCATGCATGTGCAAACACCTGCATACATAATCCGTATAAAAAAGTACTAAGTCTCTTTTTAAAATTGGAGGTTGGGTGCCAGTACCACGTGTCAATCCAGTTCCAGGGGCTCTGACTCCCTCTTCTGGCCCCTGCAGGCCCCAGACATGCATGTGGTGCACAGACATATGTGCAGGCCAAACGCCCACACACTTAACATAAAATACACAAACAGGCGACGACTGGCAGGGACAGCTCATGAGAATTTGACTTTTCTCAACTTTAGTACAAAAAATTGTCATCATTACCTTAAATATCAAAGCGAGATGATTGGAGTGCTTCTCGGCATTCCAAGGCGGTTTCGCACAAGCCATCTCTATAATAGCACAGCCAACACTCCAGACGTCACAGCTCCTGCCGTACTGCTGACCTCTCAGCACCTGAAACAGGCGGTTCATTTGGACATGTGACTTACCTCAAAGGGAGATCTATGTTTTATACAGGAGTTCAGAGTGAACAGTGGTACACACAGCAATCACAGGCACTACTTGAAAGCTCACGCAGCCCTCTCCTCCTCCACAGTGGGGCAAGGGAACAAGTCATCACTACACTGAGCACAGAGGGCTATGAACTCGGGAGAGGCCACATTCACAAGTGCGTACTGTGTTAAGACATGGACAGAAAGGAAAGGTAACTTCTGCACATTTCTACCACATGCATTTTTGTTTTACTGTAAAACAAGTATTACAAACTGACCCCACAATTCTGTGTTAAATTTGCTTTCGGTTAAGTTAGTGTTAATTGTGCTGAAGTAGCCTTTAAGCAAATCTGTGAAAATTTATTTTTAGTAATCTTGTTAAGACAAAAAGGGAGGGCTGAGAGGGTGGATCTAAACTGCAAGGTACTACTGAAAACCAACTTCTAGGTCGCGGGCTTTCAATGAGGAAGTGCATTCTGGCTCTCACTGTGAAGAACCTGGCACAGTGATTCATCACACCCAAAGCCACTTCTCACCTCTGGCGCCATGAATGCAATTGTCCCCAGTAACTGTCCCTGAAACTCTCCTGCACCGGTTCCTTTTGAGGCCAACCTGGCGGCAGCGCCAAAATCCGCAATTCTCAGCCTCTGACCCGTGCTGTCAATGAGCAGATTGGCACCTGTCAACAGAGACAGCAAATGACCTGGCATGTTAGAATCACGTAAGGACATGTCGAGAGCCTCGTGAAGTTCCCCGAATGAACTAAACCCTGTGGGTACAGCCGCAGCCTCAGAGAACGCTGCTCCTGTCTTCCTTTGCTCCATTTCTGCTGAAGGCACACTAGGGCCTCTAGGTGGATGTAACGCAAAGCCTCAGAAGGAAATTTCTGAAGGTCAAAGTCATAAGGCCCATGGAGATAAAGGAATACACTTAAAGACCCTTTCAAGTGGGGATTCAAAACCTTTAAAATGATGATTTCAGCAAAATCTATCCAGAAGTCAAATTTTGGTACAATTTACATTTCAAAACAGTCCTATTGACACATACTAACATAGGCCAATGCAAATTATATGCTTATTTCATAATCACAGTTTAATCAAAGTTAGCATCCCAACAGCACTTCAATATATTGTCAAATACTAAAGAGATTCGTAACAGAAGACCCAAGTTGCCTTTAATAGATATAATCTAAACTGCAAGATCCGACAGGACTGTCTGTCTGTCCCTCTCCCCCACCTCTCCAGGATTTCTCTGTGTGACTGCACTGGCTGTCCAGGAACTCACTCTGTAGACCAGGCTGGTCTTGAACTCACAGAGATCTGCCTGTCTCTGCCTCCCAAGTTCTGGGATTAAAGGTGTGTGCCACCACTGCCTGGCTAAGTTCTTAAGTTTATGATACGCCAATTACCTCAGAAAAACCAAGAGCAGGGATCTCCTGGGAAAACATTGTAATGTCAAGACAGGGGATCAGAGACCTCGGTTCTACACTTCCTGTCAAGAAACAATCTTTCTTGTATTGAACACACGGTCCTACACAACCAGAAAGGTGGACTGAAGACTTTGTTTTGTTTTTTGAGACAGAGTTTCTCTGTGTAACAGCTTTGGCTGTCCTAGAACATGCTCTGTAGACTAGGCTGGTTTTGAACTCACAGAGATCTGCCTGCCTCTGCCTCTTGAGTGCTGGTATTGAAGGAGTATGCCACCATTGCCTGGCGGACTGAAGACACTTAAGGGTCCTTTTAGTTCTAATATTCATAGGGTTATTTAATACCAAACTTGTGTTAGAAATCATCAAAGGTCAAGGTTAAAAGTTACGTTTGCTTTCTTGTCACTAGAAAGTATTAAGGTTCTTACCTTTGACATCTCTGTGAATGATCTGGTTTTCATGGAGATATGAAAGGCCGCGGAGTAACTGCTCAGTATAGTTAATGACTACTGACTCCTTAAAAGCTCCATATTTACTCAAGAGATGAGCCACAGAACCTCCTGAAAGACCAACACAACTGTTGTGAACCTGGCCAGAACTACACTTGTTTATCACACTCTAGTTTCTTAAGCTTACACTATATGAGCTCATAGGAAATGTTGAACTCATAGCATATCAGAAGTAAAATTGATTTCCTATAGTACCTCAAACTGTAAATTAGGAAACATTTTTTACAGAACCCTCATGAAACCAGCTTACTACAGGGCCAAGATTTTAGAAAGCACTAAGTTATACATTTTAGATTGAACTAATTGTGCAATGTAGATTCTACGCCTTTCTTTTTTCAATCTATACACTATTCCAGAATCAAGTAAACAACAGTGATATGTTATTTAGCAGAAGGTAAAGAGCAGGGGAGGAGCAAGGAGGCAGTCAGGCATCAAATACATGTACCAAAGTCAGAATCTCAATGAACCTCACTTATAAGCACTTGTGAGAGCCAACCCATCTGTTCTGTATGTCCCCATGAAAAACAACAGGTAAGGGTCTGGAGAACTCCTGGGTGCCACTGGGGAGACAGTTCAGTAGGTAGAGTGCCTGTCATGCGTGTATGAAGACCTGAGTTCAATCCCCAGAACCCACATTAAGAAGCCGAGCATGGTGGTGTGTGTCTGTAGCCTCGCTATGGGCCAGCCAGCTTAGCCCAACTAAGCTTCAGGTTCAGAGAGACCCTGTCTCAAAAAACAAAGGCGGAGAGAGACAGAGGTAACATCCATATGCACACATGTGCACGCATCCACGCTAGTAAGCACACACAAACATGAACTAAAAATGCACTCTTAAATCACACAAGAACTTAACTGGCGAAATAACCTAGTTGTCACATGACTGAGTCGCTGTATATATATATATACATATTAGAGAAGTAAACTCAGTCTATGTTCAAGAGGACGAGGTTTAACTTTATGCCTCAGGGCTGTTTCTTCTGCAGGAAGGTTTTCAGATTACGTATTAATTTATGTAGTTTGCCCAGTTAGTTGCTTTCTTTTCGAGGCAGATTCTCCCCTCTTAGAGACCGGGCTGGGCTTGAACAGACCACCCTGCTGCCTCAGCCTCTTGAGAGCCGACTGCAGGCACATGCTCTGCTCAGCGACTGCAGGCACACGCCCTGCTCGGCTTTCATGTTGTTAGAAACATTTCTTACATATTTACAATTAGTGAAGACGATCCGGAAGAACACAGAACTCATATAATCCAGGTTTGGAAAAGGAAAAGATTCTTATGCACCAAGTCACGAAATCACTCTTGAGAAAGGCTGCTGGGTTGGGGACTGTCACTCAGTTACGGTAATGTGCTTGCCTAGCATGTACAAGGCTCTGGGCTCAATTCCAAGTACAACAAAAGAAAACATCAAGATGGAAAAACTTTACTGTTTACTATATTTAAAATATAGACTATTTGTTTGTGTATGCTTGTACGTTAGGAATGACTTGTTTTTTAGAGATCCAAAGGTATTTATTTTTAAATGAAGTATTCAGTAAATCACCCTTAACTAGAAGAAAGTTAAGCCCGCGCACTCATGCATGCTTTATACTGTGAACGCACCCGCCATCCATTCAATGAAGAGGTTGTAGTTGCTCTTCTCACACGTGGCGCCCAACATCCTGATGATGTTCGGATGGTTCAGATGGCTCATCATCCTTATCTCCTCCCTTAACGCTTCCACCACTTCTTCCTGCTCAGAAGACGTGTTTCTGATGTACGTCACCTGTTTTAATAAACACGTTGACAAGATTTTGAGTTCTGATGTTCTCTGTGTTCCAAACAACCTGACCTAAACTAGACAAACCCAAACTATCTGAAACACTGACAGCAAATGGAATTTAGCCATCTACCCTCATGGATGCAGTATTCTTTACATAAAACCAACAGATCAACAGGGAACACAAGTCAGGTAACTTTAAACAGCAAGAATACAGCTTAAGAAACTGTAGAAATCAGAAAAATGATAAAAGGGGAGGGTGCTGGACCAGAACTGTATAAAAACAGTAAGAAGAATGAGAACAGCCAATTACAGAGGAACAAACAGTATGACTGAATGAAGTCATTATTTTTGCACGTATGTGTGCTCACTCTATTATGCATACATGCTCACTGCATGCATTTGTAAGTGTGCTCATGACAGAAGGACAGAGCACAGACAGAAATCTTCAACTGGCACAGGTGGAGAGGGGCAGGAATGACAAAGCCTTTCTCCGGCCATCTTGACACTGGCTGGACATCTCACAATGACCAGCTTCAACTTCTCATAGCAGAATTCGGGTTGGTGCTGCTTTTGGTAACACCTACTTTGAGACTGAAGCTTTCCGAAACCGTTAAGTGTGGTGGCACAATCCTGTACTCCAGACATTAGGGAAGTGGAGGCAAGAAGGTGCCACGCTTGAGGCCAGCCTGGGCTACACAGTGAGACCCTGTCTGACACTGAAGCGCGAAGACCCCAGCATCCCATCCTTTGTCTCTCTAGCTGCACACGCTTCATTTCACAGTTTGAACAGTTTCACCCTGGACTCCCGATACCAACCTGTTTGACAGCCATTAAGGTTCCAGTCCCCACATCTTGTGCTTGGTAACAAGAAGAAAATGCTCCAAGGCCTATCTGCTGACCTTTCAGCCATTCAGTGTCTTCCCTGTAAGGCTGCTTTGCTTTGGTATGTCCCGGTAGGGTCTCTGGTGTCTGCACGTTAAACAAAAGCAATCATTCTGTTAAAAGAGCAGGATCTTGTAAAATCAGTCTGAGGAAATACTACTGTAATTCCCAAACCACCTATGAATTTGACCTCTGAAAGGACAATGTTAACAAGAGTATCACATGTGTGTAAATGAGAATCATTTCAGAATCAGCCAGAAGTATCTCTGAAATAGGCAAGTACGCTATTGTAATGACTCAAAATTACTACTACATACTTAGTTATACATGGAAAACCCTCAGTTATCAAAAGCAGCAATTTCTCCTAGATCTTCCCATGCCCCAAGGAGACTGTAAACGGTTTGAAGACTCGACTCACATCCTGCTGGATGATGATAATGTCCTCTCCGTTTTCCACCTGTAGCTGAGGAACTACGGGGAGGGCATCTTGAGATGCTGACATTGCCATGGCAATTGCTAAAGCTTCCTCTTCTTCAGCTTCCATCTTTTCTTTGCACTTCTGATTGTGACTGACGTCGTCTTTGTATGTATCGTCGTTTTCAGCCTTTTCAGGAGAGAGGACCGCAACCTCCGACTTAAAAGTGACCGTTGTGTCACTTGAAGGCATCGATGCTTCCAGAAGGTCCTCGATGCTGGAGTTGAGCTCTGTGTTGACATCCAGTCTGCACTTGTCCTCCACTGGGGTGAAGACTGTCTCGTCGCTGGGTATAACGGCGGCGTTACCACTGCTGCTGCTGCTGCTGCGGCCGAAGCTGTCGTCACATCTGGAAGCGGCGTTCAGATCGAGTGTCATGCTTTTTTTGGAGGCATCCCCCAGTCTGCTTGTACTCCCTGGGATGGGTCGAGATGGCTTTGGCCTGTGGATGTTGCTGGAGGGTGGGGGTCTTGACTGAGTAAAGACTGGGGAGAGTTTATCCGAGTCCCTGGTCTCCGAGCAGTTCCTCTGGAACTGTAGAGAGAACTTGCGCTGTGTTTGAGGAGATGTGGAAGGTATTTTGCAGGGAACAAATGCCTGAGGTCTATGCTTAGAAACATCTGTTACAGAGCCAGCTGGGACAGATGGGGCAGAGGAACAAGGGGTCGGCACTGCTGGAAACATCTGGGAATGAGACAAGGGAGAGGAGTTCAAACACTGACTGTGGGGTCTGCCTTTTGTTTGAACCGTTGGCTTTGGCTGTTCTGTCGCTGTGGAACTAGGAAGTCCCACGGAAATGCCGGCCAGTCTGTCCGAAATGTCCTCTGAACTGGCACTCAGTCTCGTAGCACATAACCCTTTTCCAGTTTTCTCTAAGTGGACTGTGTGCTCCAGGGAACTGTTCTCAGGAGAGCTGGTCGGGCCCAAGGGCTGCAAGAAGCTGTCCTGTTGCCCATCCAAAGTGTCTTCCACACCCATCTGGATGACCTCAGCGATTTCTACCTCATCTGCAATCGCCAACAAACGCCGGCGCATCCTGGTGAAGTGCGTGGAACCGGAAGCGGTCAGCATTGTCACCAGCTTGGAAAACACAGCGGGCACCGATGTCACCATTCTCGCAGAGCTCAGATAGATCCTTCGAGAGAGCTTGCCAACCATCGAGTGGGAATTATCAATGGACTGCAAAGTGAAGGTCAGAAGGGACAGCAGCTTCTTATACCTGGAAGAAAAACAAAGCAAAACACCCTCAAACCATCGAAAAAATACGGCCATTTGAAAAATGGCAATTTATACCTGCCCTTGTACACAAAAACAATCTTTGCATGAAGAATTTGTAAATGTTTAACTAAAAGTAGCCTGCTCTCCAGGTTTCTAAAATCAAGTACTGAGGTGCTAGTATGCAACTTGGGGACATGTGAGCAAGCAAGAAGAGGGGAGTACTGATTTTCACAAGAGAAATTACCTGATTTCAACAGGCTCAGCTTGGGAGACGTCAGTACTGACGATGTGAGGATAAAATTCAGCAGGAAATTCCAGCAGCAGTCTGTCTATAAGACACAGGCGGCCCAGGAGTTCCTGCCAGCTGTTTGATTCAGCCTGGTTTCCAAGAATACAACTTAAGACATAATCAACACCACCAATACCAATGGATCCTACGGAAGACAAAAACAAACGGCAGAGAAACAGTGTTACAAAATTCTAAAACAAAACATGGTCAGATGGGGGAAAGGCCCATAAAAATGCTCTGGGTTGTTAGTCTTAAGGACTTCTCTTAAATTAACTCCTATTTTTAAAACAGCTGAATGAATCAATTTATAAAATTTACTCCAATATTTTATAACAGTCCCTTGAGAAATCTTAGGTCAAGGAAAACAATAAATTGTGCTCCATTAATTTTAAATTAGAAGTTATTACCAGCTTTAAGTATTTCTCTACCAACTGCCAGCTCTCCTGCTTGGCCTTTGCACAGCTCCAGCAGCGTTGATATGGACAGCTGACTCGTGCGGCTGCCGAGAAAGAAGGGCAACAGTTCAATGGTGAGCAGCAAGTACATGAAATCTCTCGACAGCATTCCTGATGTTTGCAATCGTTCAAGCAATGGCCTCGGGTCAACGGCCCAACTGCAGAGCTCCAGGAAGCGGGCTGCCTGCTACTTGCCATCTAAACCCATCCTCACGCTGGAAAGCAAGATGTGCCCTGCACACTGACACACTCCCTACAAAACTAACTCCTGACGTGGAGAGAGGAATACCAGAGTGAGGACACTCTGGACTGAGCAGCAGCAGCAGCCGCAGAATGAGGGAGACGGAGCTGAGCCGGACACGCTGGGATGTGGAGACGGGAACTGCCAAGGTACCTCTCATGGCTTATTAACTGAAAGTGAGCTTTCCTGTCCACTGGTCTAAACGAGGTATGGCCTGCGCTCACGTCTACCGTCACCACCGTTCACTGTCAGTTTTGAAGACTATTGTGGGAAGACATGAAACTTAAGAATAGTTAAGAACTCTCATAAGTACAGTAAAGTTCCATCACATAATGGAACAAGACTCTTTTCTAATCCACCTGAGGCAGAGGCGGGTATAACGTTACATGTTCTCTACAGTCCGTTTACTCCTTACGGTTCTGTATGCCAGTTAGTGTTCTTGCTGACTGGACTCCAGCTTAGAATCCTACAATCACAATCCATCAGATGTGCAGCAGCTCCATGCACTTTGCTGGCCTGGCTTTTACTTGCCACTGGGGTTTCTTTCCCTAGTCCTCTAAGCCCTGTTTTGATTTCAGGTCTCACATTACGACGTGCTAATAGTTGAAGATTCACTAGCACAGATGTATCAACCTGAGGTGTGAGGTCTGGCCCGGGTATCTGAAAGTGAGGCCTTACCTATTGGCATCTGCACACTTGACTAGGATGGTGTCCACGACTGGCCGGAGAAGTCTCTGAAGTTTGATTCTTTCTGCCAAACTGTGGCACGGTGTATACACCAGCATGGCTCTCAGTGTTTTCTGGGGAGAAAAAAACCTGAAGGTCAGTTTAACTATCTTCAAAATGCAACCAAGAAAATGTCCTAAGCCGAGACAATCTGAGCAAACAAGTAAGTAATAACAGACATGGATAACCACAGCGTGCTCCCAGAGTGACGTAGGAGAGTTGGAGTCAAGGCTCTAACATCTGCTCCATGTCCAGACATCCTTGGCTACTCCCAACACACTAGATGGTTAGTAATCTAGTTGTGAAGGCTTTCGAGGTCACTGACTTCTGATCCCAATTTATATTCATAGCCACTCATGCTTCTCAAAAGGACCATTTATTTACTATACCCAACTCTTAGGGTGTGAGTTAGAAAAAAAAAAAAAAAAGATTGCAAGAGGTAGCTTGGAGACTGAGGTGTAAACAGATCAGGTAAGAAATCATGCCAGTGAGGCGGCTCAGTGGCCAATGGCACTTGTCACCAAACATGATAGACTTGGGTCTGAGCCCCAGAACCCACATTGAAGGAGCTAACTGGTTTCTGCAAGTGGTCCTCCCTTTTCCACACACAGCTATGGACCACACATCCAATCCCTCTCCACTAAATGTTTTCTTTTTCAAGAATTACCCTAAGGCAGGGATTTCTGGGGAGGGTGTGTGAATTTGAGCTACAGGGGTCGTTTGGTAGTCAGGCCTGAAGACATTCTTCATCATGACAGACAATGGAGAAGGTTTGCTACTAGCTAGTATCTAGTGGTCAGACGCCTCAGTTGGAAACATCCTCCAGTGACAGCACCTCTGGTGTCCCCTCCCCCAGGTAATTATCTGACCCACACACCAGTGCTGAGACTGAGAAACAGTGCTTCAAGGAGATGGGAATCTCCGAGTGGAAAAGGTCAAATGACCTTCTCATCATGCTCTCCTACTCCCGAGAGACAAGTTCTAACAGTCAAAACAACCTATGTCTACGGCATGCATGGTGGTTAGTTCCAATGATCAATCTGACAGAATCTGGAATCGCCTAGGAGATGGGCCTCTGGGCCCAGGCTGGGGACTGTCTTGATTTTTGCTAACTGATGTGCTTAGCATCTTCACTGTGAAGGAGCTGGCTACATGAGTAAATGTGAACCATGTACAAGTGTGCATACACCTGCCTTTCCCAGCTTCCTGCCAGGATGCAATGTGGCCAGCTCCCAGGAGTTTCTGCCATGATGGACTGGAACCTGGAACTGTGAGCCAGAACAAACCCTTTCTTCTTGAGGCTTTTGTCAGGGTGTTTTTTTTTTTTTTTTTTAAATCACAGTTACAGGAAAGAAACCAAGGTAACATGGGACCATTTTCTGAAATTTTTCACCATGTTTACTGAAGCCAAGAACATTTTTTATTAAAAATGAATACTCATTAATGTTTCCATACATCAAAACAAACAAACAAAACAACAAAATTCAAAGGACATTTTCTAGTCCTATTTTTACTTGGTTGTTTCTGTTTCATGAGACAGGGTCTCCTGTTGCCCAGGCTAGCCCTGGGCTCCCTGGAGAGCTCAAGATCAACTTAACTCCTGATCCTCTACCTTCCCCCTTTCCAGTGCTGGGTTTCTAGGCATGGCATCACCATACCAGGCCATCAAGAAGTTTTAATTTGGTCATATGTGATGTATTCATTGAAGAAAACATACGAGGGGCTGGAGAGATGGCTCAGAGGTTAAGAGCACTGACTGCTCTTCCAGAGGTCCCGAGTTCAATTCCCAGCAACCCCATGGTGGCTCTCAACTATCTATAATGAGAACTGGTGCCCTCTTCTGGTATGTAGGTATATACGCCAGCAGAACACTATAGGCATAATAAATAAATAAATCTCAAACAAACAAACAAACCATGAATAGCAAGACATTACTACTACACGGGAGAAAAGTAAACAGTGCATAAGAAATCATGAACAGATTAAAATCAGTAAAATTATATAGAGAGATAAAATGGAATATTGTAATTTCTTAGGACTATAGGATAAAAAAACTTGGATTTTCTAAAGTTAAATTAGGTAAAGTAGATTTCTTGTTTCTTAAAATTAGTACCCACAAAAGCCCCAAGAAAGCCAACTCATAAAGATACGGTTACGGAGTGATGTACTTACTAAAGCAGCAACGTACACTTTGTAGACAGGGTCGGCACAGACCGTGGACAGCACGCTGCAGCAGGCCTCCACCACGTCCCCTGAGATGCTGGTCTGGGCGGACCCGCTGGCCGCTCCCCCACTCAGGCTGCCCCCGCTGCCGCCTCCAGAGTTTCCAGTGCTCTCCCCATTTGCCAACAGCAGGGCCCCACTAACGTCGTGGGACAGACGCCGGAGGGCCATCTCTCTTACATTCCAGTTTCTAGAGAATAAGCAGCCAACCAGTTCCATTCCAAACACCTATATTGAACAAACACAATGCGGTGAGAAATCAACGGACCTATGGCATGGTTAAGGACAGTTTCTGATGATTAAAGAAAAACTGGCCACTTCTCAATTCTTTACTATAATTGATAGATAACTTTGATTGTCGAATGTTTTACAATTGAGAACTTTAATAATATATACACAGTCTTCTGTGAGGGCATGGATACTCAGGTACATGTGTGTACATTGTGGAGGCCAGGGGTTAACCTCAGCTGGTGTTCCCAGGAGCTGTACACTTTGGATTTATTTATTTTTGAAATGGAGTATTCCATCAGGCTCACAAATTAGGCTAGGCCAGCTAGCCACTGAGCCCCAAGGGCCCAGCTGTCTCACCTTCCCAGAGCTGGGATTGCTAGTACAACACACCCAGCTTTCTGCAGGGGGCCGGACATCAAACTCAGGGTCCCATGCAAACACCTGACTGACTGAGCTGTCTATCTGCCCAGGTCCTTGACTGTCGACTTCATGGGATTTAGAAACGTCTGAGAATGTCTACTGAGCATTCTTTTCTCCCTCTCCCTCCTGGTTTTTTTCAAGACAGGGTTCCTCTGTGTATCCCCGGCTATCCTGGAACTTGCTTTGTAGACCAGGCTGGCCTCGAACTCAGAGAGATCTGCCTGCCTCTGCCTCGAGTGCTGGGATGAAAGGCGTGCGTGACACCTAAGGCCTAAGCCCAGCCCAGCTGATGACAGCTTCCGGCATGGCATCTGACAGGCCGGCAGGAACTTGGAGAGCTCTGGGACCCTGACACAGACAGGGCCTTTGCGGAATACTGTTCACAATCCGATGGAAGAGCTAAGGTGTGTCTGTGAACCCTGTGGATTTTATCAGCCTGCTAAGGAACAGGGGGTTGACATGAAGGGCGGGTTACAAAGCAGAAAAGCAGCACATTCTACGATGGAGACAGTGAATGAGTTAACCTCTCACAAATTGAGAGCTGACCAAATGCTGACCACTGGCTTCACTACCATCTCACTCTCTCCTGGGAGCACTGGCTATCGATCCTACCTTTAAAAATAACATAGCAAGCACCCAGCAACCAAGACAATAATCTGTAAGTTGGCCAACCCAAACCTTTGTTTACCGAAGACAAGAAACTGTTCTGAGGAGGTAAAGGCAACTGAAACACCACACCCAAGACCATTCTGAACCCTCACCTGTCCTCTCGGCAAGTGCCCGACATACGCCAGTACACACAAAGGGGGAACGGGTTAAACGGCAGCCAACAGAATCAGTTGCTGTGACTCAGGACTGGGGACGAAACATGGGCAAAGCCAGCACTGAAGAGCCGAACTTCGCTTCCTCGCACAGCCTTTCACATTTGTTAGCTTCAGGAGAGACACATCCAGGTGGGTGAAAACCACAAAGAAACTTCCAAGTGTAAGCTGTGCAGCAGACACACAGAAAGGAACTAACACGAAGAGCCGGATTAAAGTCTCCAGCATGTGAGGAGTCACACAGCGAAGCGTGTTCCGAAGTCAGAAACAACCGAGGGAAAGGGACAGACACCAGAGACGAATGAGGTGATGACTACTTACCTGGATCCACGGCTCAGCCAAATCTTTGTAAGTGGGAGGGATCTGCTGGGTTCCGTAGTGCGTAAGGTTAAAGTTGCTCTCTTGGGTCCTTCTCTGGGACCCAGGCTGCTGTGGGGAGACTGGCTGAGACACAGCTCGCAGGGAGGCAGGGGGGTCCACTGGGCTGGACAACTCGTGGCTAAAATGAAAGATCACAAAATTTGCTGCAAAATATTAACAGATATAAGTCACACTCTGTACTTAGTTTGAGACAAAGCTTCACTGTAGCTCAGGCTAGCCTTGAACTCATGATCCTCCTGCCTTCCGCCTCCCAAAAGCTGGGATCACAGGTGTGTGCCACCACGAGAGGCTAGAGAATGTCATTTTAATTTTTTGTTAGATAAATATTGTATATTGTATAGATACACAAATCAGTAATTCAAAATTATTACCTGTAGAAGTCATGGGATCTCCACTTAGATCTACAAAGGGGACATATTAAAGGCTCTCTATTTCTTCTACATTCTTCTGCCCCTGAAAAATATACAGAAAAACGATTACAAAAATGTAAATGTTACCCTTAAGCATATCTAAGTTCTGAGTATTCCTCACAGCTAGTGTAGACTGCTCTGGAAGGAGCCTCGTACAATTTGACAGGGTATCAATCTTAAAGCTGGCCAATGCGGCAGAGTAAACTATCCCGATGCTCGTACCCACACAAATGCTACCCTGTCACTCACGACAACACTGTTTGCTCAGCATCCTTCAAAGCATTCTGCCCCACCTGATTCTGTGGCTAGTCTTTCAGATTCACCCTCTGGAAAGGCCGGCCAGGTCTTCCGCCTCCGTCCCGCCTCACGGCTTTGGGCTGGGAGTTTTTAAGTCTGAACGCCTTCCGTTTCCACCCGCATCACCCTATACACACTGGACTTCCACATCTCCACAGATCCTAAATCCCGATGGGTTGGAAACTTCACATGCAGGGAGGGAGCTTAAGCAGGACTTCCTTCTGCTCTCCCTACTCTCTGCACAAGCCACGCTGCAGTAATAAATAGAACACAGCCGGGCTGAGTGAGCGCGGGGACAGAGGAGCCACCTACAGATGGACATGCAGTGGTGGTGCAGCTTGTTCCTGCAGCCATCTTCACACACGGTCAGGCTCTCCTCATCCAGCATGCCCAACAAGCAGATGGGACACATTTGCTCCTCTTCATCCTTTATGCTGCGAGAGAGGGAAGCAGAACACTGAGCACCCAAGTCTACGACTCCTCCGGACCACGCACATATCAAGCAGAGATGCTTGTTTGACGGCATCACCGGATAACCGCAGGGCAGTGACTTCTAGTGATATTCAGTAATCTAGAAGCAGATCCACAGAACCGGCCGGACTCACAGACTGTGCTGGGAGTTAGGCTGTTCTTACTGTGAATGCAATTTAATGCGGGAACTACAACCCATACATATGTATATGGGGAAAAAGTACCAGATAATGGATTTCACGACGGCATCTCCACACAGATATGCCATTATATTTTGTTCCAATTCATCTCTCTCCCACCTTCCTCCTCTGCACCCAGAGCATTTTTTTAAAATTTATTTATTATGTATACAGAAGAGGGCGCCAGATCTCATTACAGATGGTTGTGAGCCACCATGTGGTTGCTGGGAATTGAACTCAGAACCTCTGGAAGAGCAGTCAGTGCTCTTAACCTCTGAGCCATCTCTCCAGCCCACCCAAGCATTTTTCAGAATGTTAGTGGGTTGACTGGGCATGTTTGCTAGTCTGTCCCTCTTTATGCATTTTATCTGTACACTGAGGTTCTGGGTTCATCTCTGCACTTTCAGTTTTTGGAAGTGTTTTGTGTATTTTCAATTTGCTTTAACTTTTTTATTTTGAATTTTTATTGCAAGTGTATGAGTGTTTTGCTTGTATGTACGTATATGTGCCACATGCATGCCTCGTGCCTGTGAAGGCCAGAAGATGCTGGATCCCCTGGAACTGGAGTTATGGATGGTTGTGAGTTGCCATGTGGATGCTGGGAACTGAACCTGGGTCCTCTGGAATAGCAACCGAGCCACCTCTCCAGCCCTTATCTCTATTTTCCATTCTTTGGAAATACCATTTGAAATTTTTATAAAATTAGATCCCTAGATGAATATCTTTAGGGTTTTTTTTAAAATTGATTTTAGTTTTTCCATAAAAACATGTGATTACATGAACAAAAACTTAAACATGATATATTACAATATGAGAAACTTTTGTGCCCACGCTGCTGATTATACCAATACACCTGGAAACCTCAAATTCTAGTTCATAGTAAGAAAGTATCTTTGATCATCTTAGAAACTTCTGATTTAAGCTTTAAACATTTGTTCTCTTTCTTCAATATAAAGCAGAAAAAAGTAAGTTTGGTTTTAGAAGTTCAATAAAGAAAAATCAACCTTCCTTT